TGAACTGAAGCTGAGTAATAGTAACTCTAGAGACCCGTGGATTCGATATTTATTACTTGTGCCACTATACTGCAGTCCCTTTCATTGGTTACACTTGGCCATTGTTAGGTGTTGTGTTTTGGCGTGTCAGTTGGATAATCATTTCCCCAAATTTTAGGGATGTCCCGGGACACCGCTACAGGCCCATGTATCCGCCCCTGATGATGGGCATTGGACAGGAAGGGTTTTGTATTTTAATTTTATTTTGAATTTAAACTAAATGTGTGAATGAAGTGGAATCTACCTGGATAACTGGATATCACCATTTATACCACATCAGATAAAGTCAACATTGCTTTGATCACCATTTGGTTAACTGTTATCTTTAACTGTCAATAAAAGTGTTGGGATACAAATGTCACAATTTCTCATACGTTGTGACAGAAATTGAATATTGAATAAAATAGGATACAAATAACATTTCCTGTATAGTTCAGGTGTTATAGTGGTATTAGCCATAATTTGTATAAGAAAATTGATGTTAAGACTTTTGTTTTGACAATAACTTGTTATTGTGCATTTTTTACACAAAATCCACTCAAAACCCATCAACCATGGTTGAACCATGATTAAGACGATCGCACCTTGGTAAAATGGGAAGGAAAATATAAGTTTGCCCCTCCTTTTATTTCAGTAAGTTTTTTTATTTTATTTCCAAGTGATAGCAAGAGAAGACAAGAGTTATACAAACAAAACTATCCAGGAACCCCTTACAAACGAACCCCAAACACAACCACCCAAAAAAATCAAAAGACTCTAACTCTAGGATATACAAAAGCAATGCTTTACGCGCCACTCTATGGGCAGCACTGTTAGCGGCCCTAGGAACCGCCATAAACTCTACACATACTGACAAAAAGTCTAAGATCTAACGACACTCCCGGAGCTCCGGCCCTCCAACAGAATCTTCTAGTACACCTTGCCGGATCTGATTGACAACCACTTCGGAGTCACCTTCCAAAATCACTTGAGACAAGGACCTCGAAGCGACAAAGGAGATAACATCTCTCACTGCTAAGAGCTCTGCCAGACAAGGGTCGACTACTAGTTGGTGACGAGACCGACTGCCACCACCACATGCCCGTCTAAGTCACGAACAACTAGACCAGAAGAGCAACCTGAGTCGCAAACAGCTGCATCGAAATTGATCTTCAAAAAGTCGGCAGGTGGAGGTGTCCAAGCTGGCAGAGGAGGAAAAGGGTGGATAGATCTAAGGGGGTGGAGGAGGGGGGGCAAATTGAAAACTTCTAGGACCTTGTTGTTGAATTGTCTGGCTAAGGAACGAACATGAGGTTGGTAGAATTCAAAAGTCACCGTATTTCTAGACTTCCAGATTCTCCAAAGTAAACAGACGCATTCCAGATTCATTAATCGTTATTGACTCTCCCAGATTCCTATCGTTAGAGAAATATCTTGGGAGCCAGAAAACTGTGCCTAATGTAAGGATCCCTAAGGATGCGTTCTATCCTAAGTCTCATTCGAAACCGATTAAGTAAGTTTTCTTAGCTCTAACTTATGAGCTTGCTCCTTATGGATCAATGCTGAGATCATGACATGTCACCATAGACTAAAGTTAACATTCGGGACGGAATCAATGAAGTTTCTCAATCCCACTAATGTCCACAACTTGGTCGCTAGGGGGCATCTGAACTGTTATGGGACAATCCAAGTACCACATCGGTAATACAAGGGAAGGGACCCTTGTATATTAGAGTCCACCTAGCCCAATTAGTACGAGGCCTTTTGGGGAGGACACCCAAAAGTAAAACCGTGCGGGCTCGGCCCAAAGCGGACAATATCGTACTAATTGAGCTGCCCAGTTATGACAAGTGGTATTAGAGCCTGGTTTGGTTCAGGGCGGTGGACGTCAGTTTGGTGGATCCTCATTCGGTGACCTCGGGATTTGAGATTCGCATCTGGTTTGGTGGATCCAGGAGAAATCCACGTTTGGGCTTGGCGGATCAAAGAGAGTTCCGCATCTGGGAAGCAGATCAAAGACAGTTCTGCGTCTGGTGAAGTCCTTGTATCGAGAAGCCCATCGATACAAGGCATCTGGCGGATCAAGATAATCGCTGAGGTGAGAACACGAAGTTCGTGGTCCTTGTCTTGAGGGGAGGATTGTTATGGGGCAATCCAAGTACCACATCGGTAATACAATGGAAGGGACCCTTGTATATTAGAGTCCACCTAGCCCAATTAGTACGAGTCCTTTTGGGGAGGACACCCAAAAGTAAAACCGTGCGGGCTCGGCCCAAAGCAGACAATATCGTACTAATTGAGCTGCCCAGTTATGACATGAACAATAAGTGTTCAATGCTCTCTCTATGTCTCCAGCATACGGGACATCTATTGAAGCAATTAAATCCACGTGTTTGTAAGGCTACTAAAGTAGGAAGCAGTGTAGTCAAAAGCTAGCTTTAAAGCCTAGAAGCCTATGCTTTTACGCTTTGGAACCCCCCAAATATTGTAGCTTTTGTTCAAAAAGCCTTTTGCACCAAAAGCCCAAGTAAAAGCCCTCAAGCCCAGTAAAAGCCTTAGAAGCTAGCTTTTGACCGCTTCTCTACGCTTTTGATATCCGAGTATGATGATCATATTTGGTCGTTTTTGGTTCAATTTTTTGGACAAAAGAGAAAAATGATGCAGTCTTATTTGTTTTCTAGTCGTGTTATCCTTTCAGACTTTCCTTTTATGAATTTATCATCCCTAATTCACCGCCACTTTTCCACATTCTCGTATTTTCTCCTCCTCCAAAACCACATGCCACATCCAAAGTCCTGCTTCCAACGCTTTTCCCTTAGTTTCCCGCAACGTGCATCCAACTTCCTCTTAGTAGGCTCCCACTGCTATAATAACTTGGACATCTTCACTCATGCATCAACCCTCCCCATCCCTATAACTCCTATCTCACTCCTATGACTATGTTGTCTTCAAAGTTCATCTCCTTCAATCTCGCATTTGCCGCCACTTTCACTTATTAACGGAGCTTGTCTATAACCCTTCTAGCTTCATCATTTGTTGTTGGTTTCCGTTTCTCATATTTTTTCTACAAAGCAAGAGGAATGTGGTGAATTCTTGTTTAAAGGCCTGTTAATTTAGTTTATGTGTACGAGAGTAAAATGTTAAATATGAGCTAGTTCATCTCTCTGTTCATATTTTTCATAATACAAGTTATGGTTAGAATATTTCTATAAAAATTATATGGTGTGCAAAAGCTTACGCTTTCACGCTTTGCTTTTACTCTTCCGCTTTTACTCATCATTTTGCTTTTACCTAGAAGCTAGACTTTGACTGCATTGGTAGGAAGAATGACCTTAAGATATTGCCATATGAAGAATTTAAGATTTGGAGGGACTTGGATATTCTATGTCCTTTTCCAAATGGGTTGGTCGATTATAAGCACCATCAGTTTCTTGCTTACTGCCAGGGTCGACTCCAAAGCTAGGTGATACCCTGATTTGACCATGTACTTTCCATCCTTTGTGTAGTGCCAAACTCTGGTATCTTGTTGTGGGGAAGAGGTAGAGGGATCATTCTTATAAGATCAACGGATGGAGGCTGAAAGCAAGATTGAAGCCTTGGAATATTCCACTCCCCATGACCTTCTTTGATGAAGTAAGAAACTATGGGAGACTCATACGGGTTCTGGAATCGGATTTTTGGGCTTGAGGGTTTGTCTGCCGGAAGCCAATTATCCAAGAATGCTCTGATTTCTTGGCCATTGCCAATTTTCCATCTTAGCCCCTAAATAAGGAGATCCCTTATGAATAGTAAACTTCTCCATCCCCACGATGGGTTAGAACTAATTGAGGCTTCTAGGACGGAGCAATAGGGAAAATATCGGGCCTTATAAATCTGGGAAAGGAGAGAATTTAGATTAGTTCAAATTCTCCAACATTGTTTTGCTAACAGGGCTTGATTGAATGCGCCAAAATTCATGAACCCTAGTCCACCATGAAATTTACCATGTGCTGGACTTTTTCAGGATAACCAGTGGACGGGATGGTCTGTATTATTTGAAGTTTCCCACCAAAATTTTGCCACATGACTATTTAGCCGTCTGCAGTTCTCCTTTGGGAGTTTAAAGCATTACATTCCAAGTACTAGAATGTTAGTAGTATTAATCTATACAAAATAAATAGAACATATTGAAGTGACATTAATGTGGGTATTTTATATATTTGTATCCCCCAAACCATGGTTCGGTCATATGATTGACGATTTGCGGATTAAATTTTTTAGCAAAAGGACATGTTTGATAATTTTTCTAAGCGCAATGACTATTTATTAGTTAAACCTTTTTCGGATTCTTTTTTATTAACCAAACATATCGAAATACTAAGAATTAGCTAAATGTTAACTTTCTATTAGCATTTTTGTTAGTAATATTGACTTGGCAACATAATACTGACTTGGAAGAGACACATGAAGGTCAACATTCTAAAATTTCATTATTTTAAGGGTTAATATCCTAGTTTGGTCCGAAGTTTAGCGTTAGTGACAGTTCTGGCCCCATTTTTCAAATAAGACATTTATGGCCTACTTTTGAAATTATTGGACAAATTTGGTCTACGATTTGAATTGACCGTCAAAATAGACGGTCAACTATTTTTTCGTCGATGACTCAGCATCAAAATATGATGTGGATCCGAGGTGGCGGCCACACCATTTAGTTAGATTAAAAAATTAAAAACAAAAAATATAAAATAAAACAAAACAAAAAACCAAAATACACTTTCTGATCCCCTGAGTCCCTCCCCTCCCCACCGAATATGAATCCCTAACATCTTCATCATCGCAGCCCCATCCTTGCCACCATTCTCATCTTCGGCTACCTCCGCTCAATCTCCCCTACCATTTTTCTTGTTCGTCCGATTTTGCTGGTGCTCAATTGAGATCCCGTCCACAAGATCAGAAGCTGCTGCCCTTTGATTGCCCCTATCCCTCTCCTTGTCGAACTCGTGATGGTGCCTCTTCCACGGAAGCGAAGGCGACGAGGAGCGTTGGTGGTGTTGGTGGTGCGACAATGCGACGCGCATGCGTCCGACGAGAGCGAGTATGCCAATGGTCGTCTCTCCTTGGAAGAAGCAGCTGTCAATGGTCGTCTCTCCAAACGATTTCCCAGAACTGAAATTTTGGGTTTGGGTTCTTCTCTGACGACGAGGGTCGCCATTGATAGAAGGAAGTCAGCAAAGTCAGCCAGGGATGGCGACGACGAGAGGCAGCTAGGGATTGAGAGATAAAAGCGTACGCATACTTGTCGTTTGGATCCGAGAGTGGCTCGCTTCCTATTTGTCCAAAGTCCAAACTGTTTTCGGGCGTAACTATTGGTTTTCATTATATCAAATTTCAGATTTGGGTTTAGAAAGGGATTGCTTGACGTACAGGATGGGAAGGAAATTTGGGGAAGGAAATTGGAGGAAGGATCTCACAATGGGTGGAGGTGGAAGTTAGAAGAGGAAGAAGATGAGGAAAGGGTTTCGTTTGGCCCCCCCTTTTTTTTTTAGTTTTAAATGATGTGGACATCATAGTCAGCAGTGGATGTTGAGTAACTTACGGAGAATATGGTTGACCGTCAATTTTGACGGTCAATTCAAAATGCGGGCCAAATTTGTCCAATAATTTCAAAAGTAGGCCACAAATGTCTTATTTGAAAAATGGGGCCAGAACTGACACTTACGTTAAACTTGGGGCCAAACTAGGGTATTAACCCTTATTTTAACTAAGAAAAAAGTTACAAAATTATTAACGATAACATAAAAATGTCTAATATTTTGATGTATTAAGAAAGATTTGGCTAATTAATATAATTTTATTAGGTTTGGATAATATAAAAAAATCTGAAAGAGGTTTGGATAAAAAGTAGACGGTACCCTTTTTAAAGTACAAAGGTATGTTTGATGTAAAATATAGTAGATAGCATATTTAATAAAACTACATAGTTGTTGTGCATATTATACCTATTTATAAAAAAATAGGAATAAATATTTTTTTTTATTTTGAAATTAAAAAGTTGACAATGAGATGGTAACTACCGGGGCAAACTGTGTTTGAAAAAAAAACTTTTTTAAATAGGCTATGTTTTTTTGAAATTATAAATATATATTAAATAACAAATTCTCTCTCTTTCTCACTTCAACAATTCCCTAGTCACCTTTTTGCTTCTCTGACCACCTTTATGTCTTCTTCTCAATTTTGTTGTGTCGCTGTTCACACGAAGCAATACAGGTCCATAAGAACAAATACCACTTCAAAAACATAAAAAAAAAAAGAAGAGATCAATACCTAATCATAAAAACACTACCATTTCAAAAACGGTAATACCAGTTAAAAACAAATCAATAGTGGTATAGATGAACCAATACCAGTTCTACGGGAACCAATACTTGTTTACACAAACGAATACGAATTCAACACGAACAAATACCAGTTCAACGGGAACCAATACCAATTTAACATGAACCAATACCAGTTCACTGAACCAATTTAACATGAACCAATACCAATTTTATTTCCTTGGAATTTCCCACAAGTGCAAAATCCTGCCCGATTTTTATCGTCAAAGTGCACTGTGAGTGTGTTTGAACATGTCATATTGAAATTGTAGGGAGGATTCTGAACTAAATAGATGCCCTGACGTCGATCAACCCCCATCACGGTATGTCCAACTGCCTTTTGTGCCCACGGCTTCATCAGTTCTTCGCATGGTTTGGTGTACTGTGAATGACCACTTATGATTTGTGTTTCTGTCTCCAACCTCATCTCATCGAATTTCTCCAATAATTGCCAATAAGTATGTTGCACAAGAGAAGCTTTAGGAAGTGAACGAATATCTATGAAAACACCATTTATGCTCTCTGCCATGTTGGATGTCAGGATAGACCATCAACGCTCACCATTATAGTTATCATGTGCTAAGCTCCAACGAATTTGATGTTGGTCCAACCAGTTATCACAATAAATATTTCTATCAGCGACTATCTTCTTAAATTGCTCAACTTGACGATCTAAGTTCTCCAAGCGTTTTTCTCCGGCTAACACAATAAATAAACACTCAAGTTAGATATATATATCCATTACAAAATTAAATAAAAATAAATAATACATAACAATAAATAACCATAACAATGAAGGCTTACCGACTCGAAAAAGTTGATTATACATAATCTTGCTTTTACTCTTCCTTTGCAAGTTGCTTGCAAAGTGTCGCATGCACCACCTCAACTCCCAACCTCTTTCGATGTCACTCATGGCTTCATAGAGTCCTGCATGTCTATCTGAGATGATGAATACATCATTTCGATCGTTCAAACCTTGAACGTGTCTTATGAACCATGGTCAATTATCAGTATTCTCGCTCTCCACTATGACAAATGCAATTGGAAAAATCTTCTTTCGGCCATCGAATGAGCTCGCCATGAGTAGCACTCCTTTATACTTTCCAGTAAGAAATGTTTCATCAACAACCATGACTCCTAGACAACTCTTGAATCCATCTATACAAGGTCCATGAGCCTAGAATACTCGTTGAAAGATCAAATGACATGGTTGCAATAAAAGAACTCTTACCCAATCAATCACTAATGTTGGCATTTTTCTCTTTACCACCCGCAAGAATGTTTTCAAATAATCGTAGGATTCTTCCCAATTTCCATGCAACTTCTCCAATGCTCTTTGTTTCCCATACCAAGCCTTCTAGTAAGTAACTTTCATATTAAACTTATCTTTCAACTCGGCCTGCACAGTTAGAACACTCAGATTTGATTGAGCACGTACTAAATGCTTCACGGATTCAGATATAACGTCGACATCAAGATGGCGATGATCCGTCGGTTGAGTCGTACTGCTACAAGAATGCACCAACTCGGCCTTTCTCACAGTCCATTCGCTTCCAACATCTCGACATCCAAACCGCACCATCCAAGCACAATTGTCATCCTTGTGCTTCAAGCATATGACCTTCTAGATTGAATGTGATGACTCAACTATGACATACTGAAAGTTGCATTGTAGTGCGTGATAATTAATCACCATCTGTGCAGCTTATTTTGAGTTAAATATCTGCCTCTTATAGAATTCTCCTTAAAAACCAGCAACAATAGTCATTGGAATTACGCCATATGAATAAGCATATGATAATTCTTCGTCCTCTTCATTATCCTTCAAGTAAAAATATGTGGGGGGGGGGGGGGTAATTAGGCTGCTCTTCTTCCCCATCCTCCTCCTCCTCCTCCTCATCATCATCATCTTTCTCCTCTCCGTCATCATAGTCATGATCATATGGCACACTCCATGACTCATCTTCTTCCTCTCCACCCTGATTCTCACTAATCTTGGCACCCAAACAATAAGGATTTTGTGCCACAAAACCGAAAAGCACATTCAAGCTATCATCATCCACAATAGGCATCGCATAATAAAATATAACACCATTCTGCCATTCTGGAAGATAGTAAGTGAAATCTCTGATTGTATCACTATCTTGTAATGCTTCGTCTTTACCCCGTATCCTCAGAATTAGATTATCACAAAATTGGTGATACGCCACCGTGGATGGAACTGTTTACTGAAAACTTCTACCACCAATGAAATGGACGCCCAAATTGTCCTCTACTTTCTTCGATTTCCACCGAACGAGTTGTTCAAATCTTCTAAAATCACTACATAAAAACAAATTCACTAATTATCTAAACAAAATAACAATAGCATTTTAAGAATATAATTTAAAAAAATAAATGTGTCTTTTACCTATTAACCATCTTTTGCAGCAACTAGTAGAGCTCCTCTCGTTTAGCTTCACAACATCTGTTTCTTTTTTGTGGTGAGAAACTAAAAGAAAGCTTGGGGTTTATGGTGCTGAAGTACTGTTTTGGGAAGGCAACGAATCCGCTCCAGACTTGGGCGATCCCACTAGTCAAATTCGCCACCAAACCCGCCTAACTCTTGAGCAGACCCGCTGGGCAAAAATTATGTCCACTGACGACAGTGCCAGCGCCCCAGTCTCAGGCGAGTCCGCTTAGTAAAGCGTAAAAAACGACTTCGCCTGAATCTCAGGCGGACTCGTTCTTTTTTCTGTACAAAACACAATATTTGTGTCAATACTTTTAAGATCGCTAAATTAGTGGTAAATTAAAAAAAATATTTTGGGAATTAACCCTCAAGATGGGCTAAATTACACGTTTGGTCACTTAAATTACATAAATCTTTCATATTTGTCACTCGAATTAATTTTCTTTCTTATTGACCACTAACTTTATAAATCATTTCATCGTTAGTCACTGGTCGTTAGTCTCCATTAAACTCCGTTAGATTTTTGATGATGTGACAATCAGAATGACTGATTTGACTAACAAAAGGCTGAGATAAAATTTTTTATTAAAAACACAAAATAACCACACAAAAAAACTTGACAATCATCCCCAATTAAAATCCCTAGGCTTCCCCACTGTCCTCTCCTCTCGCATCCCCCAAAATGGACGGCGAATCGCACGGCCTCGATGGCGCAAGGGCTGCTCCGGCAGCGGCGCCCGTGCCTCTAGTTCCGCCTGCCTCGGAGCCGGGGGATGGCGGCCAGGCCCGGCCTCATCGCAAGGTGGAGATGGAGATGACGACATATGAGGGACCAAAGACGATTATGGAGTGAATAAAAAGTAATTACACACATTCCCAAGCGAATGAACAAAACCCTTCTCTTAACTGTTTTCCCAACCCAAAATCAAAATCAGATTTCAAACATCCTTAACAACTAGGTATTCGTTGAGGAACTCTCTGTAAGCATAAATGAGCTAAGATAAGCCTATGAAGATCATCCCAGTAGCTAGGGGAACATCGATGATGACAGGCTTCTTCTCACCACTAATGGCAATCTGGTAGCTCCGACCCACCTACCCGATCCACCCGGCGACGTGGAACAGAACCCCTTTGATCACGAACTCGCCCCAGTGCTTCTGGTCACCGCTCACAATCAGGTGCGGGAGGCCGTCGGAGCCGCACGACAGGCCTTACGTTGTCGAACCGGCACGTGGTCTTCTTCTGGAGAGGCGAATAGGCGGAGAGTGTGGAGTTGTTGTTGTGGATGTATTGGGAGGCAGAGCATAAGATGGTGGATCGAGAGAGGGATGGTTATTTTGGGAGGAGGAAGGAGACGGAGCTTCTGCTGCCGGCGACGAGCTATGGGTTGAGCATCAACATTGGGTTGGAGAGGTTGGTGGGGATTGTGATATACATTTTGTTTGTTTTTCTTCATTCCTCTTCGCTTCTTCTCCTTCTCCTTCTTGTTCTTGCTCCGAGGAAGGGAATGTGGAGGAGAAGAGGCTTTTAGATTTTGATGGCGGAAGGGATGGGAAGTAGTGGAGGTGGGGAGGTGGGGATTTGATGGGGAAGAAGGGGATACGGTGGGAAGAGGGAAGATGTGACGTGGAAGGCTTTTAATTGCCAATTGGGAATGATTGATGAGTTTTTTTTTTGTGTGTTTTTAATAAAAAATTCCATCTCAGCCTTCTGTTAGTCCAATAAGCAATTATGTTCGCCACATCATAAAAAATCTAACGGAGTTAACGAAGTTTGACGGAGACTAACGGTCGGTAACTAACGATGAAATGACTCGTAAAGTTAGTGGTCAATAAGAAAGAAAAGTAATTCGAGTGGAAAATGTGAAAAATTTATATAATTTGAGTGACCAAACGTGCAATTTAGCCCTCAAGAAGACAACCTTTAAAAGTTAGAGGTCATTTGGTTTTGGTGATTGTTTGGTTGGGATAGTTACAATCCATGTATTGTCCATATTGTATCATTTTTTTTGAATTTTCTGCACAAACAATACATGCATTGTTTGCTTGATTTGACACAAACTATCACTCAAAATGAGTGATAGTTAAATCTCAAGTTTTAGGTGAGATTATTGAGATTATTTGATTGAGATTCTTGTGCTTTATTTTCTTCTAACTATATTCCTCCCTTTTTATGTGTGTTGCTTTTTTATATTAAAAACAAAGAGTAAAAGTGATATTTCACCCAAAAAGTAATATAACTTATTTAAATAACACAATAACTATCATAAAAACCAGACGATGTAAACTACAATACACCAATTTTCGTATATACATGTATATTATTATACATGCATTGATGACAATGAATCTATTTAACTATCACCAAAACCAAACCAACCTTATACACCATAATCCATTCCCCATTGGATCGTAAGGTTAAAAAATTCGAGAACCAAAACTAAAATTGGTCAGGAGGAGCGAAAAATATCAATTTGTCGGCAATCGAAAGTGGGCGAAAATGGCGGTCTCTTGATTTTTCCGTTACCGCCATTACCATCTCCGGAATACGAAATAATTGAAACCCCCTTCCCTCTCCTCTTCCCAATATAAGGGGGGAAAATCAATAGTAAGGAAGACAAGAAACCCTAGAGAAACCCGACTGACCTCATAAAATCTAATCCAATTCAAATTTTTTCCAACTGCTCCAAATCGAATTCAAGATGAAGTCAAAGCGGAAAGCATCTGTCCATGCCAATCTGTTATCCGCGAATGGCGCTGCGGCGGCGGATGATCAGGGTCAAGCTGGCGGCGGCTTGGCGGGGCCGGCTAGGGACGACGGTGCTGTTGAGATTTTAGTGAATCGAGATGGGGATGAGGGTAAGCTGGAGAAACCCGAGAGGGTAGTATTAGAAGATGGAGAAAGAGAAGCAGAAGCAGAAGTGGAAAATGATGGTGATGGTGAAGAAGCAGCAGCCGGAGAGGAAGAGGCGGCAGAGGAAGACGAGCAGGATGAAGGCCAAGATGAGCGGCCGAAGCTTGATGATGGTTTCTTTGAAATCGAAGCTATTCGGCGTAAACGGGTTCGCAAGGTCTAATTTTCTTCTCATTTCCTCATGCATTGCAGATGCCACTAGCGTTTTGCAATTTGTAAATCAATTAGTGTTTGTTGAAAGCAATTGTGGTTCGTAAGTGCTTCCGAATGCGAAATGTTTTCTTCACGGTGGCAGGATCATTTTGCATTGGTGATTTTGTTGACGGTTTACAGTCTCTTTAACTTGGTTGAGAATTGAGATGATGGTGCTAATGTGTGTCCACTTTTTTTTTTAAATATCAAAGCAGGGTCAGCTTCAGTATCTCATTAAATGGTGAGCTCCAATATCTCTTTCTTTAAGATCTTCCACAGAATCCTACCTTGTTTGCCTTAATATCTGCGGTCCTTGTATTGGCAAACTAATGAATGGTGGGTCGCAATTCTTTCCCCCCTTGGTTTCTGAAGGCGAGGCTGGCCAGAGACTGCCAACACGTGGGAGCCTCTAGAAAATTTGCAGTCTTGTTCTGATTTTATTGAAGCATTCGAGGAAAGGTAGTCTCCCTTCTCTCTCTTTCTTATGTTGACTGTCTTTGTTAGTGTTCATGGCCAGTAAATTTCCCAAAGGTGTTTGATTTTGTCTATTGGAATCTAAAGGCTAACTTGTTTCTTTGGGGATCTTTTTGTCTTTAAGTTTTATGTATATTTTACTTACAATGGATCTCTTGCTTACAGGATGCAATCTGAAAAATCTATTCGGAAAAGGAAACGCAAGTCTGGGGGCTCTAATTCGCAGGGCAAGAAGAAGCAGTTGCGTGCTTCATCTGCTAACAATCTGACAGGTGATGATGTCAGTGCAGCTGACAGAAGTTTACCCTCAACCTCTCTGAACACATCTGGCCTTGCAAGTCTTCGAGCACACACTCGTGAAGAAGATAGTGATGAAAATGGCACCAATGTCCAAGTTGCCACTCAAGCGGGTGAGAACTGGTGCACTAGCCGGCCACGACTTCAATTGGGCGTGAAGGATGATACTGAATATGATCCAAAGCTTAGTGAACTGCGAGGAACGGCACCATCAAATGATGTTAATGGAGATCAGATTTCTGTTCAGTTTGTTGATTCCAAGGCTCTCGAAGTTGTTGAGAATGGGTCGTCTCTCAAGGTTGATTCGGTAGACCCTGTTCAAACCAACCGTAGAACAGGTGCTAAGAGAAGGAAATCAGAGTCTGTGAAGAGATTTAAAAAAGATCCAGCCTCTTTTGAAGCTCCTCTCGTGGATAATTCGGCCTGTAACATCTCTCTCAGCTTTGAAGGTGAGATGACTGAAGCATCTAAAATCATCAAGATTCTCAAGCCGGTCAGCTATTCAGCTTCTTCATTTGACAATATTCAGGATGTGGTGGTAACATTTGCTGCAATTAGGTTGGTCCATAACTATGTTTGGAATTAGTTTTCCTTGGAACCTTTTTCGGACTTGTGTAGATCTTTTGTTAATTGTTCCTTGTGTCTACCAATCACTAAATAGTTAGGTGTCGGTTTGGGCTGTCTGGTAACACTCATATGGAAGAAGACCACACTTCTTCCTAGAGAATAATTTATGCTTAAAAGAAATAGAGAATGGGCCATATTTATGATGATCATTGGCATGCTTCATTCCTTATGTTCTCCTGAGATTGGGATTTCCAATCTATTTGCTAAGTTGTCTTTCAGAGCTTGAATGGCCGAACACCCCAAAGAATGTGCATGCCTGGAAACTTAAGATTTTTGTGTATTGTTGAAACACTAGTCACATGAAAGAGAACTAAGTTGGAAACTTAAGATTTTTGTGTATTGTTGAAACATTAGGCACACTAGCTACCAGTTCAAAGTCTGCCCGTCTTTCTGTATTTAATTTAGCTGAAACATGGGTTTATTCTATTTCTTCAGGTCTGATGGCAAGCAAGTACTTGTGAATAACAAGTTTTTGAAGGCTAATGATCCACTGCTGGTAATTCAGAATTGATTTGATTGACTTCTGTGCTGCTAGTTAATATATGAGATGGCTTCATGCGATGATGTACTGACATCTTCTGTCTTTCCTTGCAGTTGATAAATTATTATGAGAAGCATCTCAAGTATAGTACATGAAGGGTAAAGAGGAGGGAAATTGAAGTCTATCTCAAATATGATATGATTTTTGTATTTATAATTTTATTTATATGCTTTTACCCTCAGGAGAACTCTGCAGGAAAACCAAACCCGTTGTAGTTTAGCTTGCTCTAAAATGTCAAGTTATATATCTGCCGTGTTCTCTATATATGAGTTATTAAGATTAAGGGAACAAGGAATCTACTCCTATTTGTTCTTTTCCCCCTTAATTCAACAGTGAATAATTTCTTGACTCCATGTTTTATTTTCTGATTATACTAGTTTCTGCACGGGAAACACCTACAAAGATAGTGACTTTGGACTCCCATTCATTTGTTTCATTAGCCATGCAGATAAGATTCCGTGATTTGTTTGATTTAAGAGTCCAAACTATAGGTTAAATATGAAGTTGTCAGAATTTCTGATAGTCATTTCAACTGCAGCAAATATTGCCGCCTCCTCCCCCCCTCTTCCTTCTCTGTCTCTGGATATCCTCAGCAGGGTGCAAAATGAGCAGCAGCAGCGGTCCATCACCAGTGCTACCTTTACTTCTGGTGGGAGCCTTGGGAGTGGTGATTCTTGCCCCGGCATTCATGACAGCTGCCGACGTGTTGCTGTTTCTGCTTCTACCCAGTGGCAGTGAGAGCTCTGGTCTGTCTCCTTTGGTCCTGATGGCGATCCCCGTTTCACTGGTACTGTTTATGCATTTGATTTCATGGTGTTTGCCCATTTATGGGGTCTGCCGGGACGGAAGATGGCAGAGCGAAGAGTCATCTGCATTTGGCGACGATGGCGAAAGTTTTACTCTGGGAGCGTTGATTCTGATTCTCTTCTTCTTTGTCTTGTATGGCCTCTTGAGCTGGTAAGCTTGCCTTAACAAAGCTTGAAGGGTGAGTAGTTGAACTCGATGGGAGTTGCTGAAATCGTCTTCTGGGTGGGGTGCGGACAACTATGGCCTGCAAATTTTGGGTATGTTAGTGGATGGAGGCAAGGAGGAATCCAACTGAAGACGACGACGAAGCAGGCTATTTGTTTATTCGAAATTATGTTTTGGTTGTTGAGTTGAAATGTTCTCTGTTTTGATTTTACTGTCCTTTGTATTTTGGTCGCTTACGAGTGGCCCTCTTAATCTCATTCTAACCCTAAACCCGCAAACGAAATGTTCTCTGTTGAGTTGAAAGATATTTATTTTATTGTTTTTTAATTGTCATGTCACATATTTAACTGTCAACTTATGAGTACATGCTGAATCGCTGATTGTAGTTGAGCTAATGTTCGATGAATATGATTGGGCCGAAGGTGATTATTGTTCATGTAGCTAATATCTGGTTGAGTAGTTAGGTGGTCTTTTACCTTTTGGGTTACGTAGTGGGCTAAGAGTTAGCTTGTGGTGTTGGCCAAGAGGTTTAGGGGAATTAGGAGGGTTCGGGTTAGCTAGGGTTACATATTAGGTTTAGTCGCCTATATATTGTAACTATGACATTAGTCCGATTTATCAATCAAATCAATAAACAACAAAGGTTTTCGACACCAACTTCGTCTCCCGCTTGTGAATTATAAGTAAACCCTTGAAACATGGGTTACGTTTCCATCAATTAGTATCAGAGCATGGTTACTTCCGCGGCATTAGGATTCAGGAGATGGCGAGTTCATATAAGTTTATTCATGATATGATAGAAGAACAAGAATATTCCAGCCATTAGTTTCCGCAAGAACAATTGTGGAAGGAGTATACCGTAAAATCCGAGTGCATGGCCATCATCGAGGGGAAGCGAAGCGACGACGACGTGCCCACGTCGGTGCTAATGAAACCAGGGCGGCGGAGGAGATGAAGATCTCCGTGAACGAGATCCGCGAGAAGAAAAGTGTGCAATGATGATTACCACCTATGCAAGGCTCTCACCCAACGATCTGGAAGCAATGGGAAGGAAACAGTGCGTCATGGTGGTCACCACATCGACGAGGCTCTCACCTATCAATTCCGAAGCTTTGAAAAGCGGAGTTCGAGAAGGAGGAGCTCAAAACTAGAGCTATGTCCAAGGAAGGAGACGAACGAGACAGGGAGATGAGCTTGACTGAGGAGAAAATGACCAGAGCACGACGCATCGAGACGAGTAAGGGCAACAATGGTCCCAAAGAAGGCAGCAGGGGGCGTTCCTTGCAAAGCTGGCACCATGTCCTTCTTTGCTACAAGGGTTGCAGGAAGAAACTATAGTTCCATGCATTGAGCCTATGAATGAAACCAAACCTTTTGGTACAGAGGGTGACGTTTTGGAGCTTCCAATTCTTGTGGAGCCGCACGAGTTGTCGGTTAGAGCTGGACATGCGCGAACTGAGGATGGAGGTGTGCGGTGTCGTTTCCCATCCAGTACGAAGAAGAACAAGGGTCAACCAAAGAGCTGGAAATTCAGGAAGTGGGAAAAGCGACATCATCGTAAGCACTTCCATTGTCGTCATCGTCGACCTCCGCGTTTCAGTTGACCGAACCTTGGGGACAAAGTTCTTTGGAGGGGAAGGTAATGATGAGTACACGTGGGCTGGAGTTGAGCTAATGTTCGATGAATATGATTGGGCCAGAGGTGATTATTGTTCACGTAGCTAATATGTGGTTGAGTAGTAGTTAGCTGGCCTTTTACCTTTTGGGTTACGTAGTGGGCTAGGAGTTAGCTTGTGGTGTTGGCCGAGAGGTCTAGGGGAATTAGGAGGGTTCGGGTTAGCTAGGGTTACGTATTAGGTTTAGTTGCCTATATATTATAACTACGGTATTAGTCCGATTTATCAATCAAATCAATAAATAACAAAGGTTTTTGACACCAACGTCGTCTCCTGTTTGTGAGTTACAAGCAAACCCTTAGAACGTGGGTTACGTTTCCATCACAACTCTTAGAGTTCACCGCCACGTAAGCAAAAGTTAACGAAGTTGGACGAAGAGTGACCAAACTTGAAGTATTTAACTAATTTAAGTGACAACGAATGGAATGAAATATTTTTAGTGACCAAATGCGAACATATTTAGTAATCTCAGTGACCAACCTTGCAATTAACCCCATGGAAATGTGTTCCAGCCAATCATATCAAATTGTGAGAATATAAGTGGCAACGGGTTTGGGTTGGTGGTGGAACTCGACACGTAGTCATGCGATGCAAGTGAGTTTTTTTTACAATAACACCAACTTTTATTCCACCATCGAAAGAAACACGCGACACGTGCGATTACAATCTTAAAGGAGCTCAGAAATTAAATCAAGAATATTGATCCAGTCCTCTAGCAGTGTAAATCTGGCCTTCGAGTGTGCAACCCAATCAGCTATGACGTTTAATGCCCTTGGCACCTCTTTGACATTAATGGCAGGTAGAGGTGGCAAATGGATTGGATTGGTGGATTGATGGATTGGATTGGTGGATCCATGGATCAAAATGGATTGGATCTAATGGATTGGTGGATTCATGGATTAGATCAAGTGGATTGGTGGATTATCCATGAATCCAAATGGCATCCTCAACCAAGGACCAATATGTAAAAAGTTTAGGTACTAAAATGTCATAATGAAAAATTTTAGGTACCAAAACGTAATTTTCCAATGATATTTTTCGTATAAAAAATTAAATTTTAGGTACCAAAATGTAAAAAATAAAAAGTATAGGTACTAAATCGTAATTTGCCAATGATCCATGGATCCAATCCATGAATCCACCAATCCAATTGGATTTGGATTAAATGGATTGGATTTAAATGGATTAGATTAGGTGGATATTTTTAATGGATTGATGGATTGGATTGGTGGATTGGATTGAAATTGCCACCTCTAATGGCAGGGTTTGTCCTAAGAATAGTGACCATAGAGTTAATCCAGGCAGCACACCTCTAAGGCCAACGTGAGTGATTTTGATTCAGAGCTTTCACCAACAGCTGACAATCTGGTTGAACTGTACATTCTTATCCATATTCTTGTGCTAATTTTAGACCTTTCAAAAGAGTTTTCGCTTCCGCTTCAATCGGGGTGCAACAAAAAAGAGTCTCAGCTCGCCCATCACACACTTGTCCATGGTGGTTAACAACCAATACACCATATGCCGCCGTCTGGGAGTCGCTAAAGAACGACCCATCACAGGAAATCACCAACGAGTGATTACTTGGCGGGGGATTCGTAGTATGTTGGGTTCCCCTGAGCTGAGTAGGAGAGGTGAGGTTGGTAGGTGGGGACCTCGGGCAGGAAATCCATTCCGTAAGTTCTCTGTAAGTTTGCATGCAGACGGTTGGCGCAAAATTTTCCCAAAATCCAACGCATCCAAATTGCAACATCAACACCTGAGTCGAGAAGTCCTTGGCCAGAAATCAGATCGACGACGACGGTCGACTAGCAACGGCAAGAAAGAGGAGGAGGAGGTCGGATGCTCTCGGGAGAGGGAGTTGGGTGTTGGAGAGGATAGGAAAGGTTGTCGTCAAAGGACGTATAACTTGTTGCGGTAAAGAGGAGGGGGCGACGAGCAAGGAAATCGAGGTTGTTAGTGCTAGTACGGGAACCAGAGCGACTGTGAGAGGAGAAGGCGACAGAGGCAGATCTTTCTCTAGCGGTGATGGAGGAGTCAGGAGGATATAGAGACGGAGGCAGATGAGTGAGAGATCTGAGTGAGTGGCAACGATGGAGGTGATCTACCTCTGGTGGCGACGATGGAGGTGACAGGGAGTGCAAGCCACCAACGACTAGATCTGGGCAGCGAGGGCGACAAAAGTCCATATGGGAGTTCACTTTCAGGGACTCGATGTGGAGCGTGACACCGACGCATTTGATTCCATCGAGCTGTTGAGGAGGAGGGCATGTCGATTTCGCGAGGAGGTCTCAATGTGGAGCGTGACACCAGAATCCATTCCCGTCGAAGGAGACCGGAGCAAGATGACTAAACAATTTTGCATTTTTGTTTCTAATATTTGGTATTTTTTTATAATTGAATTATAATTTACAAAAAATCAATGACATGTGAATGACGTGGGGTTTATATGTTTGTCACATTCTTGCCACGTCAACAAAAGTCAATATTGCATTGACCACCGTTTGGTCAACCGTTATTTATAACGGTCAATGAAGTCGCTAGGACATAAATGACACACAACTATAATAGATTGAGACATAAATGTCATATTGGATAGTTCGTGACACAAATGACACAAACTTGATAGTTCAGGTTTTCCAGTGATATTTGTCCCTTTTTTATTTGAAAAGTTCATACAATCTTCTCTTCACACGTGCAAGATATACATTAGGCACTAATAAATATTTAAATTTTATTGTGAGATAAGTCATTTGCAAAACATAAATGATTGCTCTTTCTATAAAATTTTCTAAGTCTAAGGCTATGTTGGACATAATACATGTAGACTTTTGGTGTCCTATGGATGTGATTTCACATGATGGTTTTCCGTTTTTCTTGACAATTGTGGATGATTTCACTTGTTCCATTTGGCTTTATTTAAAGGGAGTTGCTAATTGTCGCCCTAACTTTATTAGTATCGCCCTAAATTATAAGTTATTATTACCTTCTTACCCTCTATTTTTATTATTAAAAAATATACCGTTATTGCCATTAGACACTGTATTTGATTCCCACAACCGCACTCGCACTCCCCGCCGTCGCATCGTCCTCTCTCTTCATCTTTCACCATTTGTACTGGCAAAGGGAAAATCTCAACACGTTCGAGTTTACTGTCAAGTACCCATCGGACACCTGGTACCTGAAGAAGCCGCCGGGATCGAGTCCGGCAGCAGCCGCCCCGGCCATCGTGCGGCGTCCTCCGTCACGCTGAAGCACGTCTACTTGATCGCCAAGGTGAAGCAGTCAGATCCTTACTGGCAGCACAGCACATGTCGCTCGAGTCCATTTGTATGTCCGCATCGGTACGGCCAACACCATGGGGATTAAGGTCGTCAAGGAATTGAAACAAGATGGAAAAAATCAGAGATCTGTGTTCTTCAATTTTGGCGAAAATCTATTTTTTTTATAGAAGCAAGAATCTGTTTTGGAGGAGAAGTCAGCCACGTTGGAGGTGTATTATGAATTTTAGAGATTTTTTTTTAATTCGAATAAATTAAAGGAAGGATAGTTTAGTAATATTACATTTTAAGTTAGGGCGATAATAATAA